TACGCCGAGGGGGGAGGGGGAGGAGTCAGAGAACAGCATTCCTGGCACACTCTGTGCTTCTCCATCAGTTACACACTCACCGTCAAAGTCGTAACCGATTTCTGTACAATTCGTGGCGTTGAGGCAGATTCTCCAGACATCTGCAGAAAACGTTTCCCCTACCCACCAGGCCTGTAACGGAAATGGAAACACAAGGGAAGGCCGACGGTTAATTATGAAAGCGCTCACTCCTGACTGGGTGTGAGGCAGGGCAGCGAATGGCTATTCTGGACCAGAGCGTCTCAATCTGCAGTGTGCACTCCGGTCGCCTGCGGATCCAGATAAAACGCAGATTCTGATTCCGAGAGGTCTGGGGTGGGGCCTGGGAGTCTGCATTTCTCACGAGCACCCAGGTGACGCTGATCTGACTAAAGTAAGAGATGGTCCGGGCTTTCACGGGGTGGAGAGGAGGAGACGAGGCTCAGGTGGTGGCAATAAGTAGACAGCGGTAAATTCCACCAGCTCTCCAGGGGCGACGGCAGAGGGGGACGAGGAAAGGGTGACGTTGAGCAGCGGGGAAGCCTGGTACGGACGAAATGACCAGACGAGATTCTCTTGCCTCCAGTCCAAGTGCTCGCCTCTCTCTCTCTCTGTGCTTCCGCTCTCTCCAGCCCCAGAAGGCCATCCTCCGCCTTCCGTCCCGCAAACACTGGAATCTCCCCACCCCGCCATGCATCGAGTTGACAAATGCTCACGGAGCCCCCACGACGTGCCCAGCTACAGTGCCAAGCACGATTCCTAACTCGTGATGAATATCCTCTGACTCACTGGTTGGCACAAACGTCCATCTGTGCCTTCCCAGTAAGTGTCACAGTAATATGAATACGTGGGCAGCTGATGGCTTTTCTGACCTTAATGTCTAGCTACCCCGTTCTCTATGTCTGGGACCTTTTCAGGATCTCTAAGGACCAGGTGCAAGGAATAGAAAACGGAGATTCTAAGAGAACATTCGATACCATTTATTTCACCGAGCGTAGGCCCCCTGGATCACAGCAGGGTGCAAATACGTTGACTCGCGGCATCCCTGCGAGCCCTGCCCTGCCCACTCACGGCAGCTCTTCGAGAACCTGCAGGGACCCACACCTGATCATACACTCTCCTGCCCTTACAGGATCTAAAGCCAGGGGATCTGAAATGGTTCGAATCCCAACTCTGCCGCTGGCTGCAGTGTCAACGCCGGCAGGAGCTCTAACGGCCCTGAGGCCCAGTTCTCTGGTCGTAAAATGGTGCCAGGAGAGGACCGACCTCACAGACTTGAGGTGCGGACAACTGAGATGATGCACATCCAAGGGCCTAGCCTGGGACACGGCCCGAGCAAACGCTCTCTAAGTGACAGGCGGTGCGATGGCCTATATTATGAATGTTATGACGATTGTGCCTATGTAGGCCGAGCTGGTGGCCACTGCGACTCAGAAGGTGCCCTTTTTGGCTTTCTGAGCAGTGTTTCTGACTAAATGTCTCTGCAGTGTGAAATCATCAGGACTGAAACCAGGCCTTTGGAGGGAGTATATAGCATAGGGGACCTCAGGTAAAAAGCTTCGTTTCCTGCTGGGAGGGATATTAATCTATATCAATGGGTTATTTACCAAAATCATCCCTGCCATGTGGCTGAGAGCTGGATACTAAAGAAAAGAGTTAAATTTTTCGTGGGAGCATGGCAGAGCTAGAAGAGCCCCAAGCATGGGCTCTGCCGGGGAGGGCATGGCCAGGCGGGCTACGTTGGTATATACGAGGGACCCTGTTGGTATGATGTCGGAGGGAGGAGGGTCAGAGATCACCTGGGATGGGTCACCTGGGGAATCTGGGGCTGTGGACCTCAACTGGGGGTGATTTTGCCTACCATGGGACACTCGGCAATGTCCGAAGTCATTTTCGGGGGTGGGAGTGCTGTTGGAATCTCGCGGGCAGAGACTAAGGATGCGGCTAAATGTCCTACAGTGCACAGGACAGCCCCCCACCCCGCAACAAAGAATGATCCAACCCAAAATGACGACAGTGCCAAGGCTGAGTCACTGACCCCAAGAGGGATGAATTTAAGCCGAGTCCCCAAAGGGCTTCCTACAGCCAAGGAGTCACGCCAGGCTCTGTAGGAGAGTCAGAGATGAAAGGAACAGGTTCCTGCCCACTCAGACCTCAATATGGGACGTTCTGAACCCTGACACTTAGGGCAGGGCCCGCAGGCCTGGGCTGAGCAAAGGGGCACGCCTTGGTAGGGAGGACAACCCCAAACCCTAATCACCTCGGGGGAGCTCGCAATCCCACTACCGACTGCGGAATCCAGGGTTTGGGGACGGTCAGTGGAAGGGGAACTTACATTGTCGATGGTGGCGATGAAGAGCAAGGCCGCGGAGGTGATGTGGAAGAGGATGATGAAAGCCAGAAGCACCAGCATTTTCACAGGGCACGGTGGGCCGGGGGTCACGTCACGTTAAGAGCCCAGAGAGAGGGGGGCGGGATGTGCTAAAGGGGGTGAGAGAGAGAAATTCGAATTTGTCAGTGACAAAGCCCCAGTAAAATGTAAGACGAGCAACTTTGAAGGGGGCTTAGAACATGGAAAACAGCTCTTCCCAACTTTCTTGGCCCGGACGGAAGCTTGATCAGAGTCTAGCTTTCTTTCCGAAGCTGTTCTTTGTTGCATCCAAAGGCCAAATATTTCTTGTGGCGAAGTCGGAGATGAGGACCAAGTAAAACCCCTAATTCAGAAAAGCATCACACCCCCTTCAGCATACCAGGGGCACCGGGGCAGGGAGGAAGAGGTCTGTGTGTGTCCCCCACCCACCGGGCAATGCCCTGGGAACTTCATTTGCTCTAAAGGACACGTACCCTCTGAGCGGACTATTCATCATCACAGTCCCTGCCTGTGTAACATAGCAAAATTCATCCCGACACAAAATGATTTCCATTTTATTTTCCTCCCTCTGGAAAAACTGCATTTCCCAGACTCCCTTGCAGTTAGGTCGGACCTCGTGACTAACTCTGGCCTGTGGGCTGTAAGCAACATGGGTGCGTGTCATATCGGGGCCGAAGCGTTTCTGGGTTGAAGAGCAGGTGTGAGTTCTCCAAGCTCCTTCCCCCTGATGTAGCAGCTGGGATGGTGCAGCTTCAACACACTGAAGCCTCATACTTTGGACAGATACTGTGACTGAGAAATAAGCCTTTGGATGTTAAACCACTGATATTTCAGAGTAAGTGTTTTACTACGGCTGGACAGTCTGAATAATACTCCACAGGAAGCAACTGCACAGTAAAACTGGAAATCTTGCAAGAGAACTAGGGTTGTGCCAGGTCGATGTGGCGCTGGAGAACTGCTCAGATGGCACGAAAGGCCCAGATATGCAAGGGCTCGTCTGAGCTGGACTGGTTCGCAATAAGAGAGAGAAAAGATAAACATGGATGATGTCGGGGGAAAAAGGCATTCAAAAGAATGATCTACATATCAGAGGGTTAAAAGCGACGTCTGGAAAAATTGGTGAAGTCTTTGAACATTCTTGCGAGCATGACTGTCATTCTTGGTCAAACGACACGCCAATGTCTAGTGAAGATGTCACATCAACCAACCTAGTTGGAAGAATGAACACTATCAATCCCTGAAATCAACACTTGATTCGTTTTTCTTTTGTTCCAATGATTTGTGGAGTTACTATTACTGAAGTTTTATAGAACATATAATTTTTAGTTTCACATAAAAATACAGTCCAAATCAGATATTTACAATGGCATTTTAACACCAGTTTTACGTGGATTAGTTTTACTTGTAACAGTCTCTCTCTCCCTACACACACACACACACCTTTTTCTAACCATTTGCGAGTAAGTTGCCTACACCATACTCTTTTATGTCTTTTTCTAACTTGCGAGTAAGTTGCCTACACCATACTCTTTTATCTAAATATATTTTGGTATGTATCTCTGAATAACAAGAATGTTCTCTTACATAACCATAGTAAGATCACAAGAAATTTTACATTACACGCACACACACACACACACACACTATTAATCTCATCTATAGTTCATATTCAAATTTCTCTGATTATCCCAATAATGTCCTCAGCTATTTATTTTTTCTGATCCAGGACAAATCTAAGATGATGTGCTGCATTTTTTGTCACGTCTCTTTAGTCTACTCTGGAATGGTGCCTCAGTCTTTCCTGGCCTTTCGTGACATTGGCATTACGTAAAAGTATTTATTTTGTAAAATGTCCCTCAATTCGTTTCGTGCTTCTTGCTGACTGGATTCGGGAAACGATTTTTTGGCGGGAGTACTGCATAAGTGACGTGCCCTTCTCCGTGTCTCCCACCAGGGGGCACAAAATGTCAGTCTTCCCATTAGTGGTGATGCTAACTTTAATTAAGTGCTTAAGAGTCACCAGATTTATTAAATATTTCTCCTTGGTAATTAAAAAGCAATTTGTGGGTGGAGAGAGGGTATTTTTACTGTGCTAAAATGTACGTCATATAAAACTTACCATTCGTGACATTGGGTACATTCGTAGTGTTTGTACATCCATCACCATCATCTAGTTCTAGACCATTCCATCACTGCAACAAGAATCCCTGTGCCTGTTAAGTAGTTGCACCCATTCCTCCCCCGACTTGGCCCCTGGCAACCACTCATCTGCTTTGTCTACAGATCTGCCTGTTCTGGACATTTCTTATAAATGGAATGATACAATACTGTCCTTCTGTGTCTGACTTCTTTCACTTAGCACAATGGTTCCAACGTTCATCCTTACTGTAGACTGTGTAGGGAGATGTTTTAGACAATGAAGAGCTCCGATCACTCATCGAAATATCACCCCAAGAGTCTGAGCATCCACTGATATTTCTGAAATAGAATCATTAAAAAAAAAAAAAGCCTTTTCCTGATACCAACTCTCCCACCTAGAGAGTCACATTGCATGAAACTGTCTCCAGGACTCAATAACCATGAGCCGGGAGCTGTGTGGCTGCAGAGCTCGGGCTGGGCGGTCCCAGCTGCAATTCTGTGCATCATCACTTGGAATAACCCAGTGAGCCAGCTCAGAGATTCTTCCAATTCTTTTAAAAAGCATAAATCCCCCTTTGTTTAGGCCTGCGTCATTCTTAGCTGCCATCATATGCTGCCTCCAGAGAGATGCATTTCTGACTCTCGCAAAAAAAAGAAAAAAAAAAAACAAAAGACAGAAAACAAAACAGTTTCATGTACCACGCTGAACGCCATGGAACTTTAATATCAGCGGGAACGCCTAAACGCCAATCTCAGCAGGCAGTGCCATAAACTCCAGGGTGATAAGTGCTTCATATATTGTCCAGCTCAGATGACACAAATGCTTATGGACACACAATTAAGACTTTCTATAAAAGGAAAAAGAAAAGGTTTACAACTCAGTCTTCCCCCAAAGGACATAATTTAAATGTTACAAGGCATGATTTTGGATGGTATAGTCATGTGGCATTAAATAACACGGAAGCACACAGAGAGAAGGTCCCCATTCTAATTCTGGGTCGACCAAGACAAAAAAGACCTAGTTTGGTGTTAGTCTGTCTCTAACAGGCGCCAATTTTTTTTTTTTTTTTTAACAAAAACGAAACAAAGAGCAGAACTTTGGGGAAGCCATAGTGCGTAGTTAGAACTTAACAATGTTGCTTTGACATTAGCATGTTTATTTTAAGGTTCTTTCTTTTTACAGGAAGTAATACCATTTACAGTAGTGACATAAAGTTTCCTTTAAACAAATTTACTGAAGTTTTAAGAAAGATATGATGTCACTAAAAGGACGGGTGGTCTTCAGTGTCGGCAAAAAATCCTGAGAGCGTTCTTACTTTGCGTTAACGCTTGGGAGTGATTTCCGTCAGAATTCCGTAGAGAAATGGGTGAGTTTTTACAGGAGGTCAAGTAAGGTCTTGAGTCCTGCGTAAGAGAAAAGCCTGGCAGCACACAAGGGTGGCCATGGATTGGTTTGAACTGTTGAGTATCCAGGAAAGTTAGGAAAGAGAGAAGTAAATGTCGCCTACTTAGTGTTTTCCCATGGGGACATCTGGAATTCAGATCTAGTGACCTCGCCAGAAGCTTGGGAGGAAATTATTCATAAGTAGAAGAGATCTCGTGAACCTTCACGAGAGACCAGAAGTGGCACTTTACTCCTGCATCTCTATATCAGAATGAGTCTCCTCGACACCAGACTCCAGCTCCTTTCCCAGAAGCAACCACTCTTCTCAGCTTCTTGTGTTCCTTTCCAGGGACATTTGCAAGGTGGGAACAGATACTCCTCCCTCCTCCCGTTTCCCTGTGGCGGGGGGCTGCACCAGAGTAACAGTTCCGGCCTCACTCTCTCCTTCGCTCCAGACTGGAGGAGGCATCCGGTGTCCACTTTCTGGACTGCTGGAGCCCGGCCATCAAGGCAGCACTTGGCCCTTCCTCACACCTCCTCCCTAGACTAGGAAGTGGGTGTGTCTGCTCTGCAGGAGCCCAGTTTCCCTTGGCTGGAGGGGCCCAAGGGCTAGTGATGGGTAGGGTTGTGGAACCCAGAGCTACGGCAAACCGATTTGGCCACATTCTCAGCTTAGTCAACCTAGCCTTTTTCACCTAATAACATCCCTCAGAGAACATTCTCTTCCAGTGCGTACGAATCCACCCCATTCTTGGAGTGGCTGCCTGGCGATACTTTGGGTGGCTACGCCAGTCTACTCAACAAGTTCCCTATCGATGTCCACTTAGGTCATTTCCAGGCTTTTCGCTACTCTGAACTATGCTGCCAGTGAACATCCTCACACTTATTTCTTCGTACAGATTCTTTGAAATGTAAAGGTGCTACATATAAACGGTATAAAGATTTCATTTATTTCATTTTAAATTTTTATTGAACCAAATTAAATTCGAATTTGATTTCCTGCACAGCATCCTGGACACTGCTGGTGCTTTGTTAGCCTTGATTTTCAGAGGGTCTTCAGGAGGTGAAAAATATTGGACCAATGCGTATACATGGCCTGGGTGGGTGGGCGAGCCTTGATGTCATGCTTTGCCTCATTAACATCCCTTAGTTCCCCCGGAAGCATCACTCTGGCCTCTACAGACCAGTCTTTGCCATCCCCAGGGCTCTCCCCAGAGCTGCTCTCTCCTGCCCAAAGCGTACGGCCACGTTTTACTCCTTTCCTTGGAAGATAACAAAGAAGACAACTCCCCAGGCTGGGTGTCGGATGAAGCCTGGCCCGCCAAACCCAGGTGGCATCAAATTTGTCCTTGCCATTCACGGAAACTTATTTCTCCTTCAAAAGATGTCATACTGAACGCGGACCCTTTGTCCCCCTTTTTGTCCTTGCAGGCCACAGTGCTCTGCCAGACGGGCCCGGTCTCGGTGCCCTGGAGCGGAGTTCTCTGGAGCGGTCTCTCCCTTCCGCCCCCAGCTGGCTCTCTGTCACATCGTCTAGGCCTCAGTTCAGACATCCTCTCCTCGGAGAAGTGTCCCTGATCCCCCATG